CAAGTTGTTTTTAAAGCATTCTGTAGTCCTCGTTCAAAATCTGACATAATGGTGACTGGAGAGAAATCTAAAACTTCTTTTATTTTGGAAAAAACAAGCTTGTATAGAGCCTCGGATTTCGATGTCATTAAAGCGCATACAGCTGGAACAGATATTACCCAAAGGTGAGGGTTATCAGGATCAAAATTCATCTGATCCTCGTCTGGAATTGGATCTTCAAGTACTGCTGAAAGTGAACAAAATATATGAAAAGAAAAATTCACCTGCGTTTTTAGCGGAGCGTCTTTATTTAGGGGAGAAGAGTTATCAAAAATTGACGTAACTTTATAGGGGAAGGAAGTGTCTCTGGAAATTTGACATGGGGGAGGGGTTAATGTAAAAATAGCCAAATGTTTGTTGATGTAATTAATGGAAAGCCCCCTAGATAAACATATGTTCTTCTAGAACATATATTTTTTTGAAAAAGTTAAATGCATACGTATAAATACCTAAATGTTCCATCAACAAAACACACTTTGGCCGATTTCGCCTTGTTGATGACTAGCATATGCCCAAACAGCAATGCTACGTTGTCCTGTTCTGCAACTGATCCCAAGAAAATGTCTCCATAGCGATGGCACTCTTTGTCGTTCAAAACTTTAGCAGCTTCATTAGGTGATTTTGGGTTTGAAGGCTCATTTAGCCTTCTTCTTTTCTGAAGACTTGGGATAATTTGACAAAAACTAACAGATTCAGAAACCACTGCAGGAAACTCACTCTAAGTGTTTTAAAAAATTAAGCGCAGGTCTTCAGATGTTGCTTCTGCTTTTTTCTTAATGGTACTTTTAGCAAGCAGCACTTCTAAGTCTGTTTCTCTTGAACTGCAACTGTGAACAGTTGTAACCTGAAGTTTATCTTCATGAATAAAAGCTCTGCCTTTGCAATTCATTCTTGTAAAAAAACGACACTTAAGATGCAGTTTGTCTTTATAAAGTTTATCTTTAGTGTATCCAAAATCACCAGACCAAAACACATTTGAATTTTTTCTTTCTCCCTCAGTTTCATTATAATTTTTTGATAAGTTCTCTAACGACATTTTAGAATATTGATTTTTCTTAAAAGTTTCTTAAATTTTAAGTTTTAATTCGAACGGAATTTTATTGCATGTGCAAATTAACTGTTCATTTAAACTGCTGTTCTCCATTGTTGGTAATGCTAACTTTGTTAAGCTGATGCGATATTAGGGTGAAAAGTTAGGAAATATTCATCGAACTCTTAAATAAGTTTCTTTTTGAAAACTGACTTAGTATTAAAAATTTCTTAAGATTTTCTTCTAGTACTAGTTTTTTATAAAATAAAAGTGTGATCATAAAATCATATTTTTGATGTTAATCATTAAAAAGAATTTTTGACAGTTAAAAATTTTCGATCTTATTCTGTTTTTATTGTTTTCGACATTAATCAGAAAATCTTATTTTTGATGTTAATCATAAAAATGAGTTTTCGATCTTATTCCTTTTTTATTGTTTTCGATATTGTTCCACATTTGTGAATTTCGATATAAAAACTTTTCGACATCAATCAGAAAATCACATTTTTGATGTTAATCAGTTAAATGAGTTTCGGTCAGTTATTTTTCGATACTAATCATTTTTTCGATCAGTTAATTTTCGATACTATTCCGTTTCCCGTCAAAAAGTGTAAATAAAGTAAACTATAGATAAAAAGACTTGAAAAATCTTCTAGCTTCTTTTTTAAGAAACTTTGAAGAATAACCTCCAAAGATCAACTTTTTTAATATTTTTTTTTTTTAAATTTGCTAGTGAAATATAACTGGCAATTTGGTGAATAATTCCCGAAAAAGTTGCCGAAACATTCACCAATCTTTATATTCTTAACTTGTCACACGGAAAAAGTCACGTGACTGAAGTAACAAGTTACTTGTATTCTAATTGTTAAATTACGAAATCAATTTAAAAATTTGTTAAACTCATTTTACTTTGGAACAAAAAACTATATTTTAAACTTTGTGAAATAATTCTTACAAGGTTTTAAATTTTAAAATTTTTAAAGTATTATTGATTTTCATATCTTCCATATCTTCTTAGAGTCCCTGCCTTTGTTAGTTATATATTTAGACTTCAATTTTTTTATTTGAGATTTATTTGCATTTATCTAATATAAAAACACTGAATTATAAGGAGAAAAAACCGATTGCGAAAACACGATTGAATCAGAGATCTTGGCCATATGAAACTTAAAGCCTAGCCTCTGACACCCGAGCTCAAGCAATGAAAATTTTTGAATAGCAGTTACTACAACTTTTATAAAAAATATCTTCAATATCGAGATAATACAATGAATATTGCTATCACAGAGAGGGCAACAAAAATACGATGGAGAACTAGATTTTGGCGACTTCTTTCACACTTTTACCAGTCATTTTCAAATCAAAATCAAAAATCATTTTTGAACTTTTAAATCAATTTTTACTCTCTTTTTATACATTATGCACGTGTATTTTTTTGTAAAAAAGAACACAACAACATTCTAGTTTAACAATAAATATTTAATTTACCTAGAATTAGGTCATAAAATCAAAAATTATGCTGACTTAAGTAGTTTTTCAATTAGCTTTAGACATAAGCAACTGATTTAAATTACTTAGAATTATGAAAAAAACTGTGTTACATCGATGAACTTTTAGGGTTCTTTACGAGCATGCAACTTTAAGACACTTTGATGCAAGACTGATACAAAAAATTGCAAGAGCCTTAAAACTGTGGGAGAGTGCGGACAAGTAGAATACTTAAAAATATTTCTAGAATAATTTTAATATCTTTTTTATACAATGTATAAAAATATATACAATGTGCTAAGCTAAACAAGTTTTAACAAATTATATTCAACATTGATTTTTTTTTTTTAATTTAAGAGGAACCATGCTATTGGGGCAAGGTGGCACAGATGTGGGGCAAAGTGGAACAAACGAATAGTTAACAACATGTAAAAATATTACTTAACAAATATTAAAACCGTAAACCATGTAGTCTTTATCAAAATATTCTAGAGGTTTTCATAACATACTTACTCAAAAGTGATGGGGGAAAAATGAAGATTAATTTTTATTTTTAAATTTAGTTATTTAAGTGCTTCAAAAATCCTTACGGTATTATTACAAAACATCTCAGAATGGCATATAACCAGGAAGTTCACTCCTCTTTCGTTACCAAGGTAGCATAAATGGTCAGAGCCGGCAACAAACCACGGACCGAGAGCCAGACCTTTAACCACTACACCACGGCTGCGTTATGAAAAATTAATTTTACTTAGTCCCACTTTAGCCCTTAAAAAATCGTTTTTTTGGGGATTAAAAAAACTAACTTTTTACCGCACGCAGGAAGAAAAAGCTATGTGTACTAAATAGAAGGGAAGAATTCTTATTGTTTATACTTAAAAACAGTGATTAGGGACCAATCTTAATTAAAATTTTAAGGATGTTTGCTTCTACCGTGTACCACTTCTCCTTACTCTCTCACATAATTGGTATTTAAATAGGTATTATATTTTATGAACAAAACTGACCCTTAAAAGGTAATGTTAAAGTGTATGATAACTAAACAATTTCCTTTAATTCTTATTACTGCGCTTTAAGATTACAAAATATACAGTTGACACAGTTCTAATTCTAAAACAAAACTAATAGAGTTCTAATCGAACTGTTAGTTCTAATATAGAATACTGCATCAGAATAATCTAAATGAATTTTATTTATCACGAATTATTCTATATTTGAATTTAGCTTCGTTTTTCATAGTATTGTTAATCTAAAACCAGTTTAGCTAATTACAACTAAAGTTTTATTAATTCAATTTTTTAAGTTAGTAAGATACAAAATAAATGTGAAACGAAAACAAGGGAAGAAAAGTGTTTTTCAGAAAAAAATTAAAACTATTGAAAAAAAGCAAGAAAATTTGAGCTACAATGAGAATCAAAACAATGACCCGGCGGTGGTTGATTTATACCAAAAGATTTAAATGAAATAATTTCTAACCATAGAGTTTTTGCTTGTTGAATGTGAGCTTGACTTTAGCAGCATGAGTTTAATAGTAACTAATTTAAGGTCACAAATTTTAGTAGAACATGTTTCAAGTTTATTCTTTATGGTCCACCACTCGATTTTTTTAAATCAGAAGAGTCAAAAATTGTCAAAGTTGGTTGCGATCACATTGTTTGGCTGGCAATACTTCAACCAAGATAGCAGCACGAACATCCAGAGGCGGTTTTATGGGGAGTGGGGATTGGGATGTTACACTCCCCCCCCCCCCCCCAAAAAAAAAAAAAAAAAAAAAAAAAAGGTGATTTTCTAGATATGGTTGGTTTTTTATACGAATTTAGTGGGCTAGTCAGGTATTTGACACAGTTCAGTCCGTTAAATTTTCGTTTTGAGGACCTTTTTTTTTAGAAGCCAATCGTTACATTTTGAGGATTCACCCCCTCCCCCTCGTTTTATTTGTAGAATCACCTCTGCGAACATCTATGATTGTAAATCTTTCATGGCAATTTTTACAATGTTTAATATAAAATGCTTATAAAGTGCAATCTATTTATATTTGCATACGCTGACAAAATGTTTATTTTTATAGTTTTTATTAAAGATAAAAAATTTTATTTCATGTATCAGTTTATCAATTTAATTTGTATGACATTTATCTTTACACGTCTTATCTACTTATTTATTATATGCGTTATTATTACCTTATTTATTCGTCCTAACCTAACGCGTGCCGGTACTTATTATTTTGGCAAAACATCACTGGTTGTAACAGCATAAAAAATTTTTTTCTAATGTAATAACTATTTGTGAATTTGATCAACGATTTGTTCTTGAAAAGTTAATTTTTAAAAGATTTTATCTACGAATGCGTTTTTTGCACAACAAAAACATTAAAACTGCCAGAGCTTGAAAGGCTCTTGTTAAATAATTGATATGTTTGTGATCCCGTGGGTTATGTTTTGATCACGTTTTTTCATTTTCAGTTTTCTTACAGTTAACTATCAGTGTGAAATAGGTTTGAAATCGTTTCTTATATAGACCAAATTTCAGTCGCAATCATCAGCAGCGTATTGACCTACATAATCAGCGTGTAGGTTTCTTCGAAAATTATGGATGAGACACAAGTTGAAGTTAGAAACAATTTGAGTGGTGCTTTTTTCCCGGTAATCTAAAATTTTTAAAGTGTAGAATATGTGTATCTGTCACCATAAAAATCAAATGCAATCAGATTATATGTTCATAAATATCACCAAGTTTGGACTTTTTTTTCTTTTTTTTTGACTTGTTTCACACTAAAAAGCTTTCTTTAAAGAACTGCTTTAGATCAAAATCAATAATAAGCAATCAATAATGAAAATAATTTCAATTTTTAAAGATAAAATTGGACATAACATATACAATTTTATCTTTAAAAATATAAAATTAATTATATAATATAAGCAAAGTTATTTCCTATAGGTATTTGTAAAATAAGGAAAAAAAAATATTAAATCAGATCTCATATCGTCTTAAAAGTTGTTACATTTAGTGATAATTACAAATGCCACAAGTACTTATATAAAGTAAAAAATAAAAAATCAGTATAAAAGAAATAAAGATATTAAAAATAACAGTAATGATAACTATAATAATAAAAATAGTGCCTATAATATAAAAAAGATAATATTAAAAAGTAATAATAGGAGTATAAACTAATACTGATGATAATAAAAACAACAACAACAACTTTTTTAATAGCAGCAATAAATTAATTGATAAAATAATTATAACAGAAGTAATAAATAGACGTAATAATAAATATTTTAAATAATTGATCGTTGCTCTGTTAAGTACGACATATCTTTTTTATGAAAATTAAAATTAAACTGAATTTAAAAGTTTCTCTTCATCAATAAGAAAAACTTTTAAAAGTTTCTCTTCATCAATAAGAAAAACCCCACTTAAAACTTTGATCCATTCCCATTAACCCTACTGTATTTAAAAATTATTCTCAGTTATAAAATAAATTTAGAGTAGCAGGATAAATCCACAAACATTTTACATTTGATATTTCTTTAAAAAATAGGCAAAAAAATTAAATTTTTTATTACTTTAATTAATTTTTTATAGAATTATTACCGTAATTAACAGAACAATGATTTAGGATATATAATTTAAGACAGCAAAAAAATAAAAAATAATGAAAACTTTCTTAAGTGATAAAAATTATAGAATGAGCAAATCACATCTACTTGTTTATGCTTTCCAATAAATAAACAATAGTGTAAAGCCTGCGTTCTAAAAAAAGTTTTTTTTTTGGAAATATAAGGGGTATTTTAAGTTTGATATTCGGGCAAATATTGCACAGAAACAATAGAATCTTTTAAAAACACAAATAGTTGTGGGATTGATATTTAAACAAACAATTTGATTTCACCAAAATCGTACGCTGTTTAATAGATAAGCAAAGTCTCATAATTTAGCTATTTTGGATAGAAAGGTTGAATAATCCTAAAAATGGAATCATCTATAAATTATGCAACGCTAACTTTCACTGATGAACAAAACAAAAAAGAACAAAAGTTTTTCTCTCACAGAACTATTTAGTTAAATGAAAAATCAATATAGCACATTAGGCATAATGATAATCGCAGCATAAAAGAGCTCAAGATCTCTTATTTCTGTTTTTTATATAAATTTAGCATTGCGTAATTGAGTTTCATGATTGACATTATGGTGGGTTTTGATACATGTTTAGTCAAACATCCCATTCAATCTGCACAGTTTCATTGCAGTTATAACTAGTTTTTAAGTAATTACCCTTTTGAAGATTAAAATCTTGATCAAGATTTATACTTACATTAAAAACAAGTTTATTAATAAAGTCTAAAAGCCAAACATTATATTTTTGTATTACAAATATTTTTGTATAATTTCTAAAATAACACAGGTCTACAAAAAAAAAAAACTGTTTCCGTTAAGATATTTTTCTGATATGTATTTTTTTTAATGCTGATTTTAAATCTAAACTTTATTTATAATGGCAACCTCAAGTTCAATTTTTCAAAAATAAGGTTTTTTATAGCATTTTTATTAAATAGTGATGAAAAACCTAACCATGTCATTGTTTTTTTTAAGATCAAATATGTAATATGATGGCTTTTTCAAATTATGATAGGTATAAGCATAATTCAAACTCATTCTGTTATATCTGTGGCTGCTATACACTTAACAGACAAAGACAAAATATTACTAAGTTTATAAAACTACCCTTTAAATTGTAATTTTGATGTTAAACTTGGTGACCAAAAAAAAAGCATGTGAGTATCACATGCTCTGTGCCATATTTGCAAAGAGAGTCTTCAAATTAGACAAAAGGATAAAGAAAAACTTAAGGTTTTGGAGTCTCCATTGGGAAGAGAGAACCACTAAACCATATTGGTGATTGCTATTTTTGTCTTGTCAATACCTCTGGTATTGGAAAA